AAATCATTAGAAAAAGAATGACAATTGAAAACAATTTTTTTACCGTATATTTTTTTAAAATTGATTTTTATTACTTAAAAAAAGAGGGAGATAACTCTTCAACAAAGGTCAAGTCATAAATTAGGACACTTCCATTCTTACATGCTAATAGTAATAAATGGAGATTATGTCTAAATATACTGAGTATTCCGCCCGTACACATCTGTTATGTATTCAAATTCATTGAATCTGAGGCTATTAGGGATGGAATACCAGTACCTTAAATGTTCATCAAAGACCAAGAGTCTTACTCAGGCCAATGTAAGAGATTTCCTCAAGGAATTAAAAGAGTACAGAAGCACTGATAGTTTCTTAATATACTGTCTGGTGAGAGTGATAAATGGGGAACAGATTAGAACCTAATTTATGAACTGTTAATGAATACTAGACTAATTATTTTGTTAATCCTGATCACCCTATTTTTCTTGCTTTTGGGCAACAAAGCTTCACCTTTCAGTTCATTTTATACTCTATGGATCCTCTAAATTGTTGTATTATACTCAGGTGACCGTTAAGTCCCTTGGGCCTCTTGTTTTTATTTGAGACTACGTGTACTCTATACCAATCTCAAGATTTTCTGAGAAATCTCAGATTTGAGAAAAATCTCAGATTTAAGAAAAAAACTCAAAAGATAAGTCTGAGTTTGAGAAAATATTTATTTGGTGGCACAGTTTGGTGAGAAAAACTCAAATTTTCTGACAAATCTCAGATTTGAGAAAATCTCAGAGTTGGTGGCCTGAAGCCAGGTACCATGGAGAAGTGAGCATCCCCTGCCGACCGGTCACACCCGCCTTGTGCTCCTTGTCACGATCGGGAAATAACGAAAAAATCCGTCGACAACTAGTGGGTATTGTTTTTGTTTGTTTGTTTTTTTTTTTTTACAAAAAAAAACACATGACTCCCCTTCTTTACCAACATTAACGAGTGCAAATATATGATCAGGGTCAAAAATAATAATGCAGTGCATCTCAACTCAAATTCTGTGTACAAAATTTCAAGTCTTCATGTCAAACGGATCTCAAGTAATGGTCTGGTAGTGTTTTTCTTAATTTGACCTTGAAGAAAGTGGTCAAGGTCAAATATTTTGATGCAGTGCATTTAGTCTCAACGTTGTCTTTCCTTGTTCCAAGTTTGAAATCCTAATGTCAAAAAGTTCTCAAGTTATGACCTAGACTATATTTTCATGTAAACGATTGACCTTGACTTTATTAATAGGTCAAGGTGAAAAAAATGTTGCCATTCACCCTTCCTCTATACCATCTCTCCATGTTCCAAGTTTGAAGACTTAATGTCAGGGTTCTCAAGTTATGGTCTAGTCATGTTTTCTCTATTTGACCTTGAAGAAAGGGGTCAAGGTCAAAATTTTGAAGCGTTGCATCTTGTATCAATGTCTTCTTTCTATGTTGCAAGTTTGAAGTCCTAATATCAAAGGGTACTCAAGCTAAGGCCTGGACTCTATTTTGAAGTAAATGATTGACCTTGACATTATAATAATTGGATCAAGGTCAAAAATTTTGGTGGCATGCATCCCTCCTTCATACCACTTCTGCATGTTCCATGTCTGAAGTCTTTATAACAAAGGATTCTTAAGTAATGGTCTAATCAAGTTTTTTCCCTATTTGACCTTGAGGAAGAAAAGAGGTCAAGGTCAAAAATTTTGGTGTGTTGCATCTTGTATCAATGTCTTCTTTCTATGTTACAAGTTTGAAGTCCTAATATCAAAGGGTACTCAGGCTATGGTTTGGACTCTATTCTGATGTAAAAGATTGACCTTGACCTTATAATAATTGGATCAAGGTCAAAAATTTTGGTGGCATGCATCCATCCTTTATACCACCTCTGCATGTTCAAAGTTTGATGTCTTTATGTCAAAAGGTTCTCAAGTTATGGTCAGATCGAGTTTTCTCCCTATTTGACCTTGAAGGCAGAAAGGGGTCAAGGTCAAAATTCTAATGCAGTGCATTTTGTCTCAAGGTCTTCTTCCTATGTTACAAGTTTGAAGTCCTAATATCAAAGGGATCTCAAGTTATGGGCTGAACTCTATTTTGATGTAAAAGAATGACCTTGACCTTATAAATAGGTCAAGGTCAAAAATGTTGGTGGCATGCACTCCTTCTAAATGTCATCTATCTATGTTCCAAGTTTGAAGTCTTTATATCAAAGGGTATTAAAGTTACGGCCTGGACAAAATTTGAATGAAGAAGAAGAAGAAAATCGACAAAAACAATATGTCTCCTCTGGAAGGGGAGACATAATTCAGTGTGTAAATAATGGCCTAGCAATTAGTATAAAAAACGTCAGTCAGCATTTGACCCAATGATAAATTGTATTTGCTGACAAGGTCATTGTATCGACCATAGAACTTAGTAATTTAGTAATTTTTTAAACCTTTTTTTCTGATTTTTGTTCAATGTTTTATTTCAAGTTTCTTATTGATAGAGTTGCAGAAATCTCAGTGTCAGTTGATTGATATCATCCTCAGATATGTAAACAAAATGATAACACTTAATAATATTCAATATTATTTTATTAGAAAAAATAATTTTGTCCAAAAAAAAAAAAGAAAAAAAAGAATTAATGTAATTTTAATTTCTTCTTAATCGGTGCATGAATAATTTGGAAAATCAGTTACATATATAAATATACGACAAATGTATGTTAATGAATTACAAGTGACGAAAATTCCAATTTAATTTAAAAAAAAAAAAACAATTGGAAAAGTCCACTTGCAAGAGTTATCTTTCCTAATTCCCCAAGACTCAAAACACTTAGGAACGTTTGAACATCTTAATCAAAATAAAACTAAAATTCTAGAACAGATATATATTAAAAAAAAAATAAAGACAAGTACACAAATCAACAAGAGTGCAGTACTGCAATAGCACAAGTAAATTAATATTTATTTCAACAAGGTTGTCAATGGTAGAGTTTGCTGCTTTCGCCATCACATGAAACATTACTTGTGTATAGCGAAGATTTTACTGTCTTTCTCTTTTGTTTCTGCTTAAAAATAACACTTCTTCCTTTATGATTCATTTTAAATCCGTTACTTCAATTTCATATCATTGTTTTTGACGTCGCATATTTAGTCCATTTTTAAAGCGTTTTAAAGATTAAGATCATCAATAAAGCGGACACGTGCAATTCGTCCCCAGGAGGAAACGGACGAACTAATTGAGGTTTATTTTTCTGTGTATACGTCATCAAATATGATGTAATGAGCCTTCTTAAATCAAAGTATAAGAGAGCATAAAAGCTGAAAAGACAAATCATTCCAACATTGACGTAAACGAAATCACTGAGACACTTGGATATAAGTGGATGAGATTTACATGTATAATGAAATTTACATGTATAATAGATAAAAATACACTTATTTCTCCATATTTCTCTTATTTCATCCTTATTTCAGTAAACAAATAGACTTGCCTGCTTATACTTCTAGAAAGGGAGAAATGGGAAAACTTGATTTGCTGCTTGAATGAGTTCGGTGTCTACTTGATCGAAGAAAGCTCTTTCATAGCTTTCTTTTGATAAAAAAAGTTTCTTCCTAGATTTGGCGTCGTTTACAGAATTTCTAGACATAATGGTCTTACAACCAAGAACTGTGGATATAGTGCAGAATGTAAGTAAAACATAAGGTGAACCACGGTGTATGCAAAAATGAGGTGAAAACATTTCAATGAAGCCAGAGAATTATCAGATTCCACCTAAGACAAATATGTATCGGCTTCCTTGACTACTAATTCCTAACTGTCATGATCAAATGTAATCAAGGGTCTGATATAAGAAAAGTATCCATATTCCTTGATTTGTCGAAATACATCTATCTTCTCATAAAATTAAACATATTTTTATTCCAGAGTATACAGTTAACTCTTGAGAATAAACATTCTTTAGTTTTGCCATTTGCAATGTCACTGAGTCATTGTATAACTGATGTTTGACCTTTTTATTCCGAGCTCTGTGTTGACTTTATATTTGAGAATTGTTATAATACTACCATCTATTAAAAATGATATTTATTAACAAGTAATGACACATACTTGTTGACGGTTATACAGTGTATGTAACCCAGTATTTTTTTTTTATTTTCATTGTGTGAATTAGAAATTGTGGCTATGTTAAGCCTTTGTTATTGTGCATAAATAGAGAAAAAATGACATATTGCTGGTGGATTTTCTTTCTTTCTTTTTACATTGATGTAGTCTTGACCAATTATGTATGCAGATGTCATATTTTATGAATACATTTTTCACATGTATGAATGTTATTAATTGAAGATTTATTTACATGCTGTACCTTAATGATATCCATTTGAAGAACTGTATTAAATGTTCCATATTGCTATGAACATGAAAAAGTTTTAAAATTGGTTTTTATTACATGTAGAGTAAAATCAAAATGTTTGTTTTGTTTGTATGTTGTTTAACGTCCCTCTTGAGAATTTTTCACTCATATGGAGACGCTACCACTTGCCGGTGGAGAGCTGCAAATTTTGTCCTATACTCGGCACTTACGGCCATTGAGCAGTGAGGGATCTTTTTCGTGCCAGCACCTACTGCGACACGGGACCTCGGTTTATACGGTCTCATCCGAAGGACCGGTCTACACGTCCCACAGTGGGCTACGAACCCGCGACGTAAGGATCAACTCCTTACTTCGCGACTCTAGAGCAGACGCTCTAACCACTGCGCCACGCGGGCGACTAAAATCAATATGTATGTAGTGTATGATATTATAGTATCAATTTTGTTATGTTTTGCAAAAATATAGAATATTGGTTGTTTATCTTGTTCAAAAGAGGTGGAAAAGACTTGAAGTCATACTGTTTTACTCTAAAATATGTAAAAGAAACCAAAATATTATCACCCCTACCGTATTTAATTTGATCATCTGAAAATTATGTCTGTGAAAAATATCAAAATTATAAAATCGCTTGCTCGCCCCTATGGGGAGGAGGGGGGGAGGGGTCCGAAGAACAAGAAATTTAATTGGTGTGGCCTTATATGAGATCATTAAGCGCTCAAGGGTAGTACGAATCCGAACATAATTGTGTTTGGTGAAAATTTTTGAAGAAATTGAAAATGCCGATCCTGTACATTCCTCAAACCAAATGCATGCCTCCTTTCATTTTAAAATATACGTCTATTTTGTAAATCAGCAAAAACATTATTTGGGTATTTAATTGCGATATAATCCCTAACTAAAACTCGATTACTGTAGACAGTATAACGGGTTACGAGGGGGAAAAGCTAAACTTCACGAGAAATTCAGTAAGTATTGTGTATGTGAAATACTGCTATGAAACAAATCCATTAAGATTTTCACGATTTAAAAGAAATTACAATTTACTAACATTTTCTAAACGAAATTATAGCAATACACTTGATGGACAAAAGAAACTTACTCAAATTAAGCAATGAAACAAAATAACATGTAACAGTAATAAATGGCCGCGTGTTCATATAACAAAGATATTGTTCAAGGTCATATCTCTTCATTTCAAAAATCCATCAAGGATGTTTTTTCCAGAGCGCACTGATATGTCAGGTTCTGAGACACTGTGTTGCTTGTGTAGATTTGCCTGCAATATAAATGGTTAGTATAAAAAACAGTGAATTTTCACGAGAACTTTAGAACATTTTTTTTTTCAGCTGAGCATTTTTACTTACGTTTCTATACAATGTTTTGCTTATGTCTTGAAAACTAGGTCGTTTTTCTGGATCGTGTGCCCAACACTTGCTTAAAAGGGTCTGAAAATATGTTACAGTTTAACACATTAGATACCATATGGTGTTGACCATATTTATTAACGAAAATATTCTTCGAAATATGTATTGCATATCCAATGACAAGTATAATGGAAAAGCCCCGTGCTCAGTAATGAAATACAGTTTTAAAAAATGATACATGTACGGCTAAATCCTTAAACTCGACACATAAATTTATTGTATTCTCAGAAAGAATAGTGCAGGGAATTAATTTTGATACATAAATCAGGAAAAGGAAATTAAGCATCAGCATCCAGTTAGCACCATGAACAACATTTAAAAAAAAATAGCATTGCCAGGATAAGCTTCAGTTGAAACTAGCATAAGTCTCGCTGACCTACTTAAAATCAGGAAATGGACAAGTTATTTTTTCAGTGAAAAATACTGAAAAGATATTTTTAAAAAATAGCTCAATAATTCAAAAAATATTAATATAATGAAAAAAATTATTAAATTAAGCATTTTTAATGCATTTAAATATAATGCTGAAATAAAATGAACTACTTCCGCTAGCATAGTGGGTTTTTTTTTTCGGTAGCAATGACCTAGTTTTGATACAACAAAGGTTGCATAAGGATTAGGATAAGGATAAAAAGAATTGAATCAGCAAGCAAAGGTAGCATTCATATCAGTATGCAAAGCATTAAAGAAAATCTAAAGAAAATCAGCACAGAACAAAATTAATTCCCTGCACTGTATCAACGGGTTGTTTAGCTGGTTAGTTAGCTTTTTCCAATGCGATAAATTAATGATTTCCTCCCTTAGGTTAAGATCGGAAGTTTTAACTTGGCAGAACGAGTATTTCACGTTACAAATTTAAAGGCAACTTAAAGCTGAACATGATTCGTAAAAAGAAGAGAGTTATCTTTGTCCGCCATATTTGTCTTCTTTAGCATGCCCTTCTCCAGCCCCTATATAAGCTTCAGCTTTGTTTCCGGTCCAATGTATTTCGCTTTACCCGAACGGTCGTTTCCTGCAATGTCATTGAGATATAGATGTACTATTAAAAAATAGAAATTCGATCCACACTGTTGCCCAAACATACAGAAATGTCATGGAATAACCTTATTTGAATTCTTAACGTTTAATTTGAATTATGGTATTGTCAATAAACCTGAATAATGCATAGTTAAAAATTGTTTTCATGTCAAATTGATTAATTGATTGTTATTTTAATATTCTTTAGATTTTCCGAAATTGATTATGTATCAATGAATATATTTTGAAATTTTTTTGCGATAAATGATGGAGATACGATGATATTTACTTTTCATGTGAAAGACTACACCAATAATTGAATACATGTACTTTAGCGGTTTTTGATTTTACAGAAGTATTTACTCAGCATAACTTTTACTGAATAGTAAATACTTTTTATGGAGAGATGAAAAAATGCAACATACTGAGCTGATGTGTAACAAATAATAAATTTGCTAGTCAAATTGCCATTTGTCTTTTAGGGTTTATTGTTAATATCTAATTAATGATCGTTTGCACTTGATTCATTTATTATTTTGGGGGATAAACATACGTTAATTTACATTCGCTTTGCGAGAGGGCCCAGGAGCACTGAATTCCAAAGGTGCTTTAGTTTTCTATGCATGGAAAAAAAACGAGTCTTTTACCCTCAAGGGTTTAAAGTTCGACATCCGTTTTTCCTACTAGAATAAACATTCCAGTATTTCCGTGAAAAAAGCAGAAAGAAAAAAAAACCGAGTTCAGTCGACCTTCATGTATCTAGATTTGCACACAAAAACTCAGCTCACTTAAGATAAAGTCCGAAAAACCAAGTTGACAAACACAGAGACGGAACGCAAACCTTTTATCCCCTCCGGTTTAACCGAAAGGGGACTAATAACGAGTTATTGATTACTGCAAATATTAAGTGTCCTCTACCAAACTTGTGTGTGTGTGTGTGTTTCAATTTAAATTTGCATATGATAATTAGTGTCATATACAAAAAATTCTAAATTTGGGAAAGTATAATAGCCTTAAATATTGACATTCAGTCTCACAAGAAGATTTGAGATGAAAAACAATAACAAAGCCAGTTATTCCTCACCAGACAAGAGATTAAACCAGAAGACTCTGATGAGACTGTAGCTCTACTGGTTGTACTTATAAAGCAAAGAAACTTGAAATTTTGCAATAGCAATAAATAGAATAAAGTTCCTTGGTTTAATCTCTTTTTGTGGCAAGATTTATTGCAATCAGACTAAAACTGTAGGAGGAGTAGCGTTTTAAAACAATTTTACAGAAATCCGATTTAAGTAACCATCTTAACATCATTCAAAAAATCAAATAAACAATAACGACAATTATGCATCTCAGTGTAGTCTACTTGTATGCCATGTTATACTGAAATCGGACCAAAACTGTAGGAGGAGTAGCGTTTTGAAAGTATTTCAAGAAAATTTCTATTTTTAGTAGCCATGGCAACAATGTTCATCGAAATCCAAAACTGGTACAGAGAGTTATGTATCTTAGTGTAGTCTACTTGTGTGCCAAGTTATACTGAAATCAGACGAAAACTGTAGGAGGAGTAGCATTTTGAAAGTAGTTCAAGGAAATTTCTATTTTTAGTAACCATGGCAACACCATTCATCGAAATCAAAAACCGATATAAAGAATTATGTATCTTAGGGTAGTCTTCTTGTGTGCCAGGTAATATTGAAATCAGATCAAACTGTAGGAGGAGTAGCGTTTTGAAAGTATTTCACAGAAATTTCTATTTTTAGTAACCATGGCAACACCGTTATTTGAAATCAAAAACCGATATACAGAATTATGTATCTTGGTGTAGTCTACTTATGTGCCAAGTAATGTTGAAATCAGACCAAAACTGTAAGAGAAGTAGCGTTTTGAAAAATTGTTTACAGACGGACGGACGCACCTTACCATCGCATAAGCTCTTCTGGTCTCTGACCACTAGAGCTAAAAATAAGAAAGGTCCTCTTCCGCCTTCAGCATTGTTTTGATGAAGGAAGGCTGTTTCTTGCATACAATCGTTTGGATTCCATAAACAGTACACTTTACCTCAAGAATTTTCATGCCAGACTTGTTTGGAATTCCTCGTTTCTTGTCCTTGCAAGTTTGCCATATAATAAACTCGGGAGCTTTTCCTTGATATGGACAATGGCCTGTCAACAACTCGTAGACAACAGTTCTACAATTGAAATAAAGAGAACAGTTGTCATAATTATGTTCAAGAAAGTGTGGATGTAACATTTACTTTTGTTCATTGCGTAATTGAATTGTGTTTTCTTGACCAGAAAAGCACAGGGATTTGATAATTTTCTTGTAATCTCCGACTAGAAGAAAACATTTCAAATTTCAATTGCATCTCGAATAAAAGATATTGACGTCTCTTGTCATCATCCGAGAAATAAACGGTCGAAAGGAATTAAGAATCAACGGAAGCAAGAGACGATTTTATTGTACTCATTGCACGCAAGAAAAACGGCGATATTTGGATTTGACATTTCTCGATTAAGAAAAGGTTATTTTCCATAAAGCACTGTCAGAGGCCTTCCTGTAGATTGTAAAATACATTCTATATTTAGCAAAATAACAAATAAGGGCTTTTCCACAATTACGTTTCCACTTCTCAAATACTAATAGTAAAAATTAAAGAAAGTACATTAGCTATTGAAAATACATTAAAACGAGTCTGACACTACATGTACCTTTTATGCCCCCATATCGAAGATTCATGGGTATATAGTTTTTGCCCTGTCTGTCTGTTTGTCCGCAAAAACTTTAACTTTGCCCGTAACTTTTGATTGGTTGGAGCTATGAATTTCATATTTCACATGTGTATTTCTTGTTACAAGACCTTTCTTTGGGTAGCATCATATTTGACCTTGACCTTGAAGTTTGACCTCTTTTTTGCAAACGTTTATGAGACTTCAACCTTGGCCATAACTTTTGAACAGTTGGTGCTTGGACTTTCGAACTTCACATGTGTATTCCTTGTGACAGGACCTTCCTTGAGATACCAACAACTTTGACCTTGGAGTTTGACCTACTTTTAAAAAAACTTTAACTTTGGTCATAATTTTTGAGCAGTTGGTGCTAAGGCTTTCATACTTCACATGTGGATTCTTTATGACAAGACCTTCCTTTGGATACCAACAACTTTGACCTTTTGACCTTGGCGGTTGACCTACTTTTGAAAAACTTTAAGCTTTGCCATAACTGTTAAACGGTGGAGCTAGGGCTTTTTATACTTCACATATGTAATCCTTGTGACAAGACCTTTCTTTGGATACCAACCACTTTGACCTTGACCTACGAGTTTGACCTACTTTTGAAAAACGTTAACATTGGCCAAAATTTTTGAATGGTTGGAGCCAGGGCTTTCATACTTCACATATGTATTCCTTGTGACAAGACCTTTCTTTGAATACCAACCACTTTGACCTTGACCTAGGAGTTTGACCTACTTTTGAAAAACTTTAACCTTGGCCATAACTTTTGAATGGTTGGTGCTATGTCTTTCATTCTTCACATATGTCATCCTTGTGACAAGCCCTTCCTTTGGAAAGCAACAACTTTGACTATTTGACCCTGACTTTGTAGTATGACCTACTTTTGAAAAATTTTAACCTTGGCCATAACTTTCAAACATTTGGTGCTAGGGTTTTCATACTTCACCATTCCATGTGACAAGACTTTCCTTTGGATACCAACCATTTTGGCATTGACCCTGACCTTGGAGTTTGACCTACTTTTAGACAATATTAACCTTGGCCATAACATGTGAACCTTTGGTTCTAGGGCTTTCACATATTACGAACATGTGTATCACTTGTGACAAGAACTTCCCTTTGGGCCCCATTTCACCTTGACGTTTTGCTTACTTTTAAAAAAACGTTAACCTTCGCCATAACTTTTGAACAGTTGGTGCTAGGGCTTTCAAATTTCACAGGTATATTCCTCTAGACAAGACCTTTCTTTGAGTACTAACATTTTTTATCTCGAGACCTGGAGTTTAACTCGCATTTTAGAAACTTTAACCTTCGCCATAAGCTGTCATATTGGGGCATCAGTGTTTCTCTAACACATCTTGTTACAATCCAAAACTTACCCATAAGCAAACACATCTGTCTCAAATGTGTAGGGTGCACTTGAAACAAGCATTGGAGGGACAACACACATTGAACATAGCACTTCTGGTGCAATGTACATCAAATCACCACGTGGCAAGCAGGCATATCCAGGTCTATGAATGTAGTATAAATTCATTTGGGTTAATCTAAAGATGTAATCAAAACGCATTCATTGTACTCTGTTTTTCATAAAAAATGATGTCAAAGAAATGAAAATTAAAAAAAAATATTACATTCGCATTCAAAATATTATTTTGCATTCAATACCTTTTTTGGTTAATATCAACGTGCTAAACGGTTTTTATAAGCACAAACGTACACGTAATGATTTTTTTTTCAGTTTCGTGCTACACATTGATGAAAGAAATCTAATTCCTATATCAAAATGGAATTTTTTTGTGCAAAATAAAGAATCAATAGATTAGAATGAACATCTTTCTGTTACTAAGTAAGATTCTTATTTTGGTTGGTGTTTCAAAGTCAACTATATGAACACGTTTTTTGAAAGAGCGAAACTTAAGCACAAACTTGAAAATTAAAACCAATTTTTCTTAATTACAGTAACCCGCGAACTGCATACCTCATACAATGGCAAAAACCTATCATTCTTGGACTTTAACAAACATCAAATACAAATCAATTACACTTTTAACCTTAATTCATGCCCATCTTACTAGACCTTGCATCACATACATGTCACATGGACCAGGATCACATACCTGTCACACTGGACCAGAATCACATACATGTTACACTGGACTAGGATCACATACCTGTTACACTGGACCAGGATCACATACCAATGTTACATACCTGTCATACTTCACTTCAGCCAACCCATAATCGACGACGCTGATTCTGACATTAGGACACAAGAAAATATTTCGGGTTGTTAATCGTTTGTGAACTATTTCTCTGGAATGTAGGTATCCCATGCCATATGACACCTGACGGATGTATTGTAACTTTGAGATCGGTGAGATTTTTTCCCGTTGTATGTGGATGTGTTCATACATGGAAACTCCGCCTTGACAACTAAAATAACAAATACGATATTATAGGAGGTTCTTTTTATGATCATATAATTCCCCTATTTAAATGTGAATGAATCAAAAATTTATTAATGGAGAGGGTTTAATATACTGTATATACTCCTGATAAATTACCTCAGAATTATTGCTAAATTACATTCTTCTAAACATGCTCCCATAAAAAGCACCAAATTTTCATGACGTATACGGCACAACTTTCTGACTTTATTCCAGAAGTCATCAGCTTCGAATACAGCATGAAAATTGTGAATGTTAACGTCTCCATGCCAACGCCCTCTGCAAAAAAAAGTTTCTCGGTAATTTGTTTTTATTATTTTACGTCTGATAAGAATGCTCTAAGCGATTTATCTTTTACTTGACAAATTACGCTGTACATCCATTAGCCTCACTCTTAAAAATCATTTTATCATTATGTTGACTGTCTCGGTAGGCTATTTATGAGGATCTGGCTTTGATTGCGGGCTTCTTTGTTGCAGTATAATGTGATTCCTTCCCTTCTTTTCCTGCTGAATTGATACATTGTAAAATAGTAATGGCCGCAAGACGGAAGAATTTTATATGAAGTTATTCTTTTTACCAACATTTTTTTTTCAGATTTATTCTTAATTTTGACCCCATCCTTGCCTGTATTTAGATAAAACAAGTGTGTGAGGTTGTCCATGCAACTAAATCAGATTCTTAGGTTTTATATAACAAATATGAATCTTAAATCAAAATAAGAGGACTGTTGCATTAAAACACACACACTATAATCTTGTTTCCTCAAGAAGTTTCCCAAGATATTTTTCATATATCTTTCTGTATGTTCTATAGTTTATAGAAACTTGAGTCCCTTCTCATTATCATAAATATTTCAACCATTGAAATTAACAAAACATGAACTCCTGTTGTTGATAATACTTTAAAATATGAAATAATAATATAATAAACACTGGACCCAGTTTATGCGATTCATTTCGACAATGTATTTCATATACAGCAGATTGGTAAACAATTTTAACAAAAAAAAAATGCCTCTGGAACGTATGTTTCAGTGCACAGCACCATTATTTGGATTTAATTGACAAATACTTGTTTATACCTCTTAAAAATGCTTATTTAATTCAGAAATGTAGAATTTGACTCAAACTTCATATAGCAGTATGTACATAAATTAAACAAAGGTAGTTATTTCATATTTACAAATTCCTCCCTCTTCTGCATGAGAATTTCACATACTTGCACCTGGAATTGTTGAAGGACTTGCAGTATGGAGAAGGTTTAATATAATATTACATATCAAACATTGTAACTTCGGTGATGAGATATCTAAGTTTCACGTTATGCTCAGTTTAAACCAAGTCCGGCGATTCTTAAACGAATAATATAAAATTAAATGTTCGTTGAAGACGTCAAAAAGAGTCAACATGAAAAATGAGAAAAGGTAGTTGTGTTGCAATTCTGTACTTTACCTGAACAAAGTTGATAAACGTAATAAAAATTAATTTTAACTTTCTTAACGAGGTTGCATCCTGAGATTTAAGCCTTAAGAATTTTTTGTCATGTATATTTTTAGTATCTACATATACCCACATTGCTGAATTAAAGATCAAAAGAAAAATGGGCGTCAATATGTTCTTTTGGCAGTATGGTACATTTGATTTGACCTTTTCGCACTGAAATTGTGTCTTGTTCATAAATCACATCTTCGAAGCCCCCCCCCCCCCCTCCCCCACAAATATTTCTTATCCAAATAAATCATGGAACAAAATATACCATTACTCAATCTTAAAAAAAAAACCGATACATTAAAATTGTGAAAAAGAAAAAGTTTCAAATTGCTTCGTACAATCAACTTTTTGACCTTTCTGCAATCGCAAATTGTCGTTTTTCTGGCATTAAAATGTTATCAAACAAGAAAATTATTTTAAGGTATTCAATGTATAAAGACCATAATTTATACCTAATAAATGAATGGTCGGATATTTTTAATCATGGTAGCATTTTGAAGTGTTATCAAATAATAAAAAATACTCCAACAAAGGAATTTACAAATTTTTGATTATTGTACAATTAATTGCACCTTGAATTTTACAATGAAGTTTATGGGCAGCACGGGTGTTATTAAGATATTGTAAAAAGTAATTTGAACTTCATATAAATCTCTTGGTGAAAATATGCAAAAACCTCTCTTTATTGAAATATGAAATAAAATGAATCATTTACCACAGATATCTTGATAAAATTAAAATTTTCTTCTTTTCAAGGCAGATAACTCTTCAAAAACGTTTAAGGTGCAAAATGGCCGTCTTCTTATATGTTATCAGTCATGTGGTGTTGATTCATTGCACATTCATCGTTATCTAGCAATGCATATTTAACTCGTTTAAATTGATTCAAAATCGTTCAATATCCCATCATAATACATTGAATACCTTAAAGTCTTAAACTTTGCTGAATAAATGAGGATTGATCAAAGTTATCTTATATATTCAGAAAAGAAAATCAAAAGTGGGGTCTTTGATATTATTTAAAAAAGTGTTAATTCTAAGTTAAAATTGGCTCAATTTTTTCCTGGATTTTCAGAATATATTTACTATATTTGTCACAATATGATGAGAGAATTCATAAAAATTAATTAAAGAGATATTTCGGAACAAGCATAAAATATTTCACTGCACAAAATAGCTCTAAGTGCAACCAGCATGGAAATTAAACTTAAGGTGAAGTATCCCTCTTCTCCAAATTTCACCATTTTTTTCTTTAAATTCCCAACATTTATTTTTATCAACAACAAAAACATTAGATTCAAATGGAAAATAGTTTGAAGTATGAAGCGTTGCTTACTTTTTCAGAAGTGAATATCATGTCTAATCATGATATGAAGAAAATTTGATATGGTGAATAGAAAGATCAATAATATTTTATCTCACCATAAAATTAAATATATGAGGTATATATAAGAATAATATTTACTATAATACCTATCTAATTCACGTTAGAAAACATAATGAAGTGTTGCTTTTTAAATCAGAATATCACATTGTTTTCTGTCCTTGTAAAATAAAATGCATCCATCTAAAAGAGTTACTGTATGTGTACTTAAAAAAGCGGGCTTCATATTTTAGCGGCTTTAGCGCAGACAACGATGCGCTAATGCATGAATACCGCTAAGAAATCATTTATAAATACAATATACAGCAAGGACATGTATAGCGCTAATTCATGTTTTCGCCAACAACTCCATACCCAGTGACTGCGCTAAATTTTGAAAACGCCAATTTATGTACACGTACAGTATCTTTCCATCTACAGGATTATCGTTATTCTAAATATTTTTAGTGAGAAAAAATATTAATTAATTGTAAAAATTCTACATCTAAAATTTCTGTAACAATTAAAAGAATTATATGTTAAGAGATAGAAATATCTAAATTTTAAAAGTTTAAAGGAACTGGGAATAAACGTCTTAGGTAAACTTTATAAGTAATTAATATAAATATTAGCAATAGAAAATAGAAATCAATATTTGTAACATTGATCGGATTTGAATGAGTTGACTATATAATGGTCCTCATTATTAAACTCTGGTAAAGCAACTCATTGAATTGCTTGGAATTATTTCCTTGGAAAGTTATCTCTTTTATCAGAGGGACATTACACCTTAACAATACTGTTCATATTTTATGAGGGAAAAATTGATCAAGAAACCTTCCGCAACAAAATGTAGTTCCCGGCTTAATCCTATTTGTTTTGGAATTTAATCGCGGTTTTTAGGTCACCTGAGTCACTCAGGTGACCTATTGCTATCTCTTTTCGTCCGTCGTCGTCCGTCGGTCGTAAACTTTTGAACATTTTCAGCTTCTTCTCTGGAACCAGCGAACCAATTTCAACCAATTTTGGCATATAGCATCTATGGGTGAAGGGGAACAAAAATTGTGAAATTCGTGGCCCCTGCCCCCCTGGGGCCTGAGGGGTGGGGCCAAAACCATCAAAATTAATGCAATCTTTAAAAATCTTCTTCTTTACTCCTGGACATCAAGCAGTCAAACTGTTGGCATGATTGTAATAAGCATTGAGCCCTCTACCAAAATTGTGAAATTCATGACCCCAGGGTCAGGGGTTCTGGTGCTAGGGTGGGGCTATATAGATCATATAGTGAAAGTGCATTATTTCATTGAAAATCTTCTTCTCTACTCCTGGGTATTATTGAAACAAATTGAATACATAGTTGTGAAAAGCAAGGGTGACTCTACCAAAATTTTGAAATTCATGACCCCAGGGTCAGGGGTTCTGGTGCTAGGGTGGGGCTATATAGATCATATAGTGAAAGTGCATTATTTCTTTGAAAATCTTCTTCTCTACTCTTGGGTATTATTGAAACAAATTGAATACATAGTCATGATAAGCAAGAGTGACTCTACCAAAATGTGAAATTCATGACCCCAGGGTCAGGGGTTTTGGTGCTAGGGCAGGGCTATATAGATCATATAGTGAAAGTGCATTATTTCTTTGAAAATCTTATTCTCTACTCATGGTTATTATTTAAACAAATACATGATTATGATAAGCAAGAGTGACTCTACCAAAATTGTGAATTTCATGACCCCTGGATCAGAGGTTCTGATGTTAGGGCGGGGCTCTATTTATTATATATCGAAAATGCTTTAAAAATCTTCTCTGCACCTGGGCATATCAGAGGCAAAAAAGAGTAAAAGTTTCAATAAGGAAGGGTATTTTTACCAGATTTTTGAACATGATCAGGACCATTTGGTCAAGTGTTCTGGTCCAGGCCAGGGCTCTATTAATTTGTATTCTACTGAGAGGAGTTATTCCCTTTGCCATTTAGGTGTGATAATTAATCACTGTAAATAATGTACTTGAAAGGTTAATAGAATAAGAGAATTATGCAAGAATTTTTATTGTATAATACAAAAAGTACTTTCATAGTTTTAATGATCAGGTAGACTTGTAAGTAATAGATAACTAAAAATGAGACAAAAATAACTTGTCTTATCAAATGTTCATCAAAGACCAAGAGAGGCCAATGTAACAATGCAACAATTTCAACAAGGAATTAAAAGAGTACAGAAGCACTGATAGTTTGTTTTTATACTGTCTGGTGAGAGTGATAAATGGGGAACAGATTAGAACCTAATTTATGTACTGTTAATGAATACTAGACTAATTATTCTGTTGATCCTGATCACCCTATTTTTCTTGCTTTTGGGCAACAAAGCTTCACCTTTCAGTTCACTTCATACTCTATGGATCTTCTAAATTGTTGTATTATACTC